AACACGACGTGTTTTTTCGAACGTGTGCAAAATTATTCTTAGTTTAAAAATCAAAAATAAAAATTGTTCTTGATTTTTATAAAAAAAAAAAACTTTAAATCAAATCGAAACATTTCTTAAAAGAAACTGTATAAATAAAACTTCATAAATGCGTAAAAGAAACTGCATAAATAAGCAGAAATATATATTCTACAGACAAATACCTTTCATTTGGTGTATAAAACGTATATAAATTCCGAGCTCATACATTATATGGACTATGGACATCATATGAACATACATACATCATATGCCATACCGACCGATAGCACAGTGCGCCAGTGATTTGGAACTTTCGAAGAGACCTAGTAGGAATTGTTTATTAGGTCGAATATGGTACGAAACCGTGTTTGAAATATTTCTAACACCCTCAAAATCTTGATTTATTTTGAAAAAACGGGTTTTGGGACTTTTTTGGTCTTAAAAATTCCTTAACGAGTAATTTTAAGCGGATTTTAAAATTTCCGACTTTTTTTAATAGTTAAATGTTTTTGTCGTGTTTTTCGGACTTTGATGCCATTTTTTCGGTACAACCTCCAAAAAATGGTATCGTTTTTGATACATACTAATATTACCTCAATAATCCTGAAAAAAAGAGATCAATTTCATTAGGAAATTATGGAAATTGTTGAAGTTGTAATGCTTTTTCCAAAACAAGTCACTGCAATCCTGCTAGCGTTCCGGAGCAATAGTGTGCCCTTCCATTTCGCTTATTCTATCTTACACAGTATTACTCCGGAGCGTTAGTAAAATTGCACTGACTTCTTTTGGGAAAAGCGTGTTCTAATATTGTCTTCAGCAAAATTAAGAATGCGTTTGTTTTCAACTGGGCGCAAGATTCCCTTATTACAAGATACGTACTGCTTAGGATATTTTACTAAATTATAAAGTTTATACTATAAAGTGTAGAAAATTTCTATTTAATAAAACTTTAATTTGATCAACTTGTATTAGATCAGTAATAGTAACTTTTGTAGAATGTTTATTGATTAGGTTTTGTAAATCATTTGAATCTTAAATCGTGGTTATTCCAATGTGTGCTCTATGGTTGTTGAGTGAATTATGTCGATGGATCGTTTATTTGTTACAAAGTGAATAGTTCTATTGTTTTCTATAGCCGCAAGGAATATTAATTCAACCGTATTCTCAATACCTCTTACCGCTTAAAAGAAACCTAATTGTTTCAGATTTTATAGAGGGCTTATTATTGCAATATATTGTATTTGGTCGCCGATAAAAATTAATAAGTTCTAAAATCGCGGCTTGCACGTCTGCAATGGCTCTGGAGCAATTGGTTGAACAATGGAAATGTTTGGAAATTTGCCTACGCAAGTAAAAAAGTAGTTTTTGTCTGTCGAAAATATGTCAATGTGTATGATTTCACCTGTGTATGAGAAAATGGGTCTTGCTCCGAGAATCCTTTTCAGAGGGTGTCTATCGTATTTTGCCTTCTGGCATATTTTACAATTTGTGTTGGAATTTAGTCCAAAAATCAGATCGCAGTATTACAAGTGAAAAGACAAGAGTTGATTTTGTGGAAATTATATTAAAGACTCAAAGCAAACTTCATTATTTCGCAATATTCTATGTCAGAGGTCGGCACGGCCCTATCTCGGGGGCATAGGAAATTTCTCTGCCCGAGCTCTGCCACACACACACAGTATAGATGTGTGAAACGTCATGCTCACAGCCTACTTTCTGCAATGCGTTACTAACACTAATGCGGTAAAATCATGTCAATGTGTTGGGGTGCCGACCTCTGTTCTATGTATATGATAAAATTCAACACAAGGATGCCATATCAATTTATGCTTAACTTAGAGTTACCAGATTATCATTGTGTGTCTTACGTTAATTCGTAATTTCAATTATGAGGGTATAACCGTGACCGTGAGAAAGCTTCCTTTTCCGTAAACGGCGGAAAATACGAGTTTCGCCGATTGCCATTTGGGTTAAGGAATGCTGCCAGCATCTTCCAAAGAACCATCGACGACGTACTGCGAGAACAGATTGGCAAATTTTTCTACGTCTATGTCGATGATGTTATCGTCTTCTCAGAGGACGAAAACGCCCACATACGACACGTGGACTGGGTTCTAAAGAGCTTACACGACGCTAACATGAGAGTGTCAGCGCAGAAATCTTCTTAAAAAATAGCGGTAATTTTTTGGGGTTTGTAGTCACCAGCGAGGGGACCACGACAGACCCGGAAAAGATCAGAGCCCAAAAACGTTTTCGAAGTAAGATCATTCATGGGCTTGGCCGGCTATTATGGGTGCTTTATTAAAGATTTTGCATCAATAGCTGAGCCCATTTCGAACATTATAAAAGGGGAGCTTGGAAATGTCAGCAGACACAGATCCAGAAGCATCCAGGTACAGTTTACCGAGCCGCAACGGCAAGCTTTTGAAAAGCTACGTAACGTCCTGGCCTCTGAGGATGTCATCTTCAGGTACCCCGATTATAAAAAGGCGTTTGATCTAACGACAGATGCCTCAGCGTATGGCATTGGCGCGGTGCTTTCCCAAGAGGGGCGTCCCATCACTATGATCTCTAGGACCTTAAAGGACAGAGAAGTTAATTACGCTACCAACGAAAGGGAGCTGTTAGCTCCATAGTTTGGGCGCTAGAGAACCTGCGCCACTACCTTCATGGGGTCAAAGATTTAAACATCTAAACTGACCACCAACCGCTGACCTACGCGGTATCGGATTCCAATCCGAATACAAAAATTAAAAGATGGAAAGAACGCATCGACGAGTGTGGTGCCAAAGTCCATTACATGCCTGGCAAGGCCAACCTAGTTGCGGCTGCCCTCTCGAGGCAACAACTCAACGTTGTAGAAGAAGAAGCGCGGCCACAATTCACAGTGAGCTGTCGCTAACCCACACAATCCAATCCACGGACAAGCCCCTCAATTGCTTTCAAAACCAGATAATTCTGGAGGAAAATCGCAGCTTCGTTCTCTTTGGAAACAAGAGGCGGTAGAGTCATTGCTGGTGGAGCTCGCTGGAATTATTTATAAAGGCGTAAACGCCATTCATTGCGATCTGCATACGCTAGAAGTGATACAGGACAAACTAATTCGAAAATTCCCTGCCACCAAATTGTGGCACTGCAAAAACCGAGTAACGGACATTTTTCCGTTATTTCCTTACGTGCATCGACAAATTCTCGAAATTTGCCGTAGTCCAACCAGTTCCCTCTAGAACTATAGAGGACCCAGGGACCCATAGGAACTTGGCCCCAGGGCCAAGGTCGTATATTGCGACAACGAACCACCGTTGAACTCGCACACCATCGTGACCATGCTGGAAAACCATTTCGGCGTTAGCATCTCAAATGCTTCGCCCCTACACAGTGTCTCCAACGGACAAGTAAAGCGCTTCCACAGCACTTTGGTAGAGCTTGCTAGATGTCTTAAGATCGATAAAGGCATTAGCGATACCGTAGAGCTGATACTTCTGGCCACGGCCAGATATAACAAGTCGTTCCACTCGGTCATCGACAAGAGGCCGGCTGACGTGGTGCAGGCACAATCAGATGAGCCACAATATGAAATACAAGATAAAATTAAACTCGCCCAAGACAAGCTCCGGGACAGGGAAAACACTTCCCGCCAAATAAGAGTATTGGAGGTTGGCGAAAAAGTCCTAGTGAAGTCCAACAGACGCCTAGGCAACGAACTCTCACCGTTATGTGAAGAGAAAAGCGTTGAGGCGGACATGGGGACCACAGTCCTCATTAAGGGGACGGTGGTCCACAAAGGCAACCTTAGGTAGGCCGAGCGCGACCATGTTATCGCTCGCCTGATAATTTCTCTTTTTATTATCTTTTTCCTAGCCACCTAGCCATAAGTTTTGCGCCCTTTATTATTTTAAACATCCTTTGGTGGTGGGCTACCCAACTTCAACAAAATTCATAAAACATCCAAATTACAGGTTTTCAACAATATCCCTGATTTTCCTTTTGGTCAGAACATCGGCACGCGTCACGGACTATTCCAAATTCTGATATGGGAGGAATTCGCTTTTGTAAAGCACTCAGCAAATCTCTCGGAATATAGGCGCGTCATCGAAGAAACTAATGGGATGACCATTATGTTCCCGCAATCCCACATGCAGAAACTCCTAGTTGTTGATGTCGCCCACCTACGCGACATGCTCGACACTTTTAGCATCCATCATAGGGAAGCAAGAAGTTTAGACTTCTTAGGGACTGTGCTAAAGGTGGTGGCAGGAACGCCGGATGCAGAAGATTTTGAAATAATTAACTTTAATGAATTCCAATTTACGAATGCAAACAATAGGCAGGTTAATATTAACAACAAAGAACAAATTCAAATCAATGGAAATTCTATTAAACGTTTATTTGACAGACAATTCATTTGCTGCGTTCTCATCAACTTAACGACTCAAAGCAAACTACTTGTTCTATGTATTTGATGAAATTCAACACAAGGATGCCATATCAATTTATGCTTAACTTAGAGCTACCAGATTATCATTTTGTTTTTTATGTTAATTCGTAATTTCAAACACACCCTCTCAAAATGGTAATCTTAAATACTCATCAATCCTAATGATGAACTACATTCATTGTGCTTTCGGCCGCCTAGGCCTTTCATTAGAACATCTGCGGGCATATGCTCTGTCTGCATCTACTCCACAGAAATGTCGCCACTCTTATACATCTCCTGGATAAAGTGGTGCCGCACGTCTGTGTGTTTTGTGCGTGGATGGAACCCAAAACCTTTGATCAAGTGCTGAGTGCTTTGATTGTCATTGAAGGTTCTCACGCACTTACACCTTAGGCTAAACCTGTTTAAAAGAGCTTTCAATTATAAAGCCTCTATCACTGCCTCTACCATGGCTAAATACTCAGATTCTGTTCTTGATAGTGCGACAGTACGTACGCTTGCGCGCCTCCTAACTTATGGCGGCGACCGCCAATACAAATGCTTAACCGGAGTAGGAACGTCGATCTGTCAGGTTTCCTCCCCAATAAACGTCGACCACACCATATAGATCATCTCCCGTCTGCTTGAAGATCAGTCCAACCGTCTTTGTACCGCTTAGGTACCGAAGGATACGTTTTGCTGCTTTCCAGTGGTCGATCGTGTAACATGAGTTGAATTGACTCATAAAATTAACCGCATATGCTATATCTGATCGTGATGTAACTGCAAGAAACATTAAAGATCCAATTAAATTTTGATAAGGGTACCTTTTCATTTCGTCTCCGCTTGGATGCTCTGGTTTTGGCAATGTTGACTTTGATTCAATGGGTGATATCGCCGGTTTGCAATCACTCATTCCAAATCTCTTTAGTACAGCATTTATATACTTTTCTTGAGAAATGAAAACTTGACGCTTAGTTTTGTCCTGTTTGAATTCGATACCCAAGCACGCTTTCACTGCACCGAAATCCTTCATCTTAAATGCCTTGCTGAGATGTATCTTCATTTGCTATAGCCATACTGGATGATCTGAGGCGAGTAGTAAATCGTCCACGTAGATCGTGACTATTAGAAGTTTCTCGTTGTGTTGTTTAACAAATTAACATGGATCCTGCTCAGTGGGTTCTAGTCCAATTTCTTGTAGCTTCTTGTTGTTTTTTTTTTTTATTTTTTCGCGGTCTTTCAGAATTTGGAAATGGCTTGTACATCATTAAGAGCATCAGCTAGCATTCCTGTATTCATCATAAAGCTTAGAGGCCCAGACGACTGAGGGGCGCTCGAGAAACGATTTGTTAGTACATATTATGCTATTTGAAATTTGTTAAGCTAAGAGGAGTTAGTAAGATAGTTTAAAATTCTATATTTTAAATTAGAGGGACAGGAAAGAGATGTAAGCTTGCAATACCAATCCAGATTGCCGTATTTCACATAGTACTCGCTTTAATATGCACACTGGATCTCGAATTACTTCTTAAGCTTTTCGACACTCATTGGCTGCTTCCACGTACTCATATTTAGGACGTTGTTGTTGTTTAGATCCAATTGGGGTACCATATTTTAGCTTTTCCATTACATTTTTTTTTTTTTTTTTTTTTTATAGCTTTGCTTTTATTTATTGAATCTACTCTTAATTTTGAGACTAACAATAAGTTGACGAATCTTAACATTAAAACTTAACTAACAGTATACTAAGACTGCATTCTGGTTGCGCGTCCCTCAGGTCGGTCGCTGGGTGGGTAAGTCATTGCGACGAAGGCGTGATTGGTTGCTCAACCTTGTTAGACCTCTCGCCAGGTGGTTAGGGTGCACCGATAGCTTGGTTAAGTACTTTACCTTCTGTTCTGCGATCGCTTTTTTGACTGGTAGAATGTTTAAGTCGCGGTGTATGTTTTCGTTGCGAACGTACCACGGTGCCCCGGTGATTGTTCTCAAGATCTTCGACTGAACTCTTTGAATTATGTCAATGTTGCTATTGCTGGCGTTCCCCCATAACTGGGAGCCGTACATCCATATAGGTTTTAGTACCGAGTTGTACAGCAGGACTTTATATTCAAGGCTAAGAGGTGACCGAGCGTTGATAAGCCAATGAAGACCGCTGGCTTTTAGCTTTAGGTGTGTTCTTTTGGCTTCAATGTGCCGGCGCCATGTGAGTCTTCTGTCGAGATGTACTCCTAGGTATGTTACTTCGTTTGCTTGTGGGAGTAGAGTGTTGTTTAATGTTATCGGCGGGAAGTTTTGCCTGTTCAGTGTGAACGTAACATGCTTGCATTTTAGTTCGTTCACTTAAGCTCGCCAATCTGACAGCCTTTTTTCGACATCGACCATTTGCAGAGCTAGCTGCGTATTTGCTTGAATCGGGCATTTTGAGCGGCTAAGGATAGCTGTGTCATTGGCAAACGTGGATGTTGTTAGACGTGTGCTTGTCGGGATATCTGCTGTGTAGAGGACATATAATATTGGCCCTAGCACGCTGCCTTGAGGAACTCCAGCTCCAACAGTGTAATCATCGGATATAGCGGTATTGCACCTCACGACAAATTTTCTGTCGTGAAGGTAAGACTCCAAAATCTTGTGGGTGCTTTAGGGGAGCATTGTCTTGATCTTGTACATTAGACCTTCCAGCCAGACTCTATCGAATGCTTGAGAGACATCTAAAAATATGGCAGTACAGTACTCTCGTTTTTCGAACGCGTTCCGAATTTCGGATGTTATCCGGTTGACCTGCTCAATTGTTCCATGCTTTTCACGAAACCCAAATTGGTGTGACGGGATTCCTTCCTGGATTCTCAGGTATGTGTTTATACGAGTTATTAGGCATTTTTCAAAGAGTTTAGATAGGCAAGAGAGTAGTCTTATAGGTCTATACGACGTGGGGATAGTGTGGTCTTTTCCGGCTTTGCTATCATTATTATAATTGACTTTTTCCATCTCACTGGAAAGTGGCCAAGTTTTGCGATGGCATTAAATAGCTGGGTGAGAGTGCAAACGGCACAGTATGGGAGCTCAATGATCATTTTGGGAGTTATGAGGTCGCAGCCCGGGGATTTTTTCGGATTCAGTTGTCGTTTGATGATGTTAACGATTTCGTTTGGGCGAAACTCAATCGGCTCATGATAAAGCTGGGGCTCATCTGATAGAGTCGGCAAAGTAAACGCATTGGTGGCAGGATTTGGTTGGAAGACATTTTTAAGGTGTTTGGCAAACGTACTGGCTCTGTCTGCGTCGCTGCGCGCCCACCCGCCTGTGGAATTTCTAATAGGCATCACGGTTTCTTTCGGTGAGCTCAGAATTGGGTGAGCTCTCCATAGTGAGTGTTTCGTATTGTTAGTTGACAATTGCTCTATGTAGCGGTGGTGGACATACGTTTTTTCTTGCTGTAGAGCTTGATCAAGTTGACGTGAGGCATGTTTGAAGCGTTGCTTAGCAGATGGCGATCTGTGACATTGCCATTCTCGACGTAAGCGTCGCTTTTCAAGGACGAGCTGTTCGATTTGTAGATTTGTCTTCTTTTGATTGCGTTGTGTGTTTATAATTTGAGGTGTTGAAACTCGAGCTGCAGAGACGAGTACAGACTCCAGCGAATTAACAAAACTGTCTACGTTGGCTTCGTCGCTGAGGTGAGGACTCAGCTCAATGTGTGAGCTGATGTATTTCCTGTACTTAACCCAATTGGTTTTATGTGAGGTCAGATTTGATGATTGATCCCATGTTCCTGGGTGTTGGAGTAGAGTAAAAAGGACAGGCGAGTGATCAGATGAAAGATCCGAAAGGCATTCGGCGCGTATCAGATTTTTAGGAATGTTTTTGGTAATCGCAAAGTCTATTAAATCGGGAAGTTTCTTTGGGTCTGCCGGCCAGTATGTTGGTGTGCCAGAAGAAGCGTAGTCTAGCTTGTTCTTAGCTTTGATAATTGCATTAAAGAGCTGCTTTCCTTTTGGGGTCACGAGACGAGTTTCCAGTGTGTGTGCTTGGCATTGTAGTCTCCTGCTGCTATGAAATGGTCTCCGAGTGAGTTGAAATTGATGTGGCCTGTAGGTAGTTTTTTGCAAATTTCGTGTGATAATGGTGCTGGATGCGGCTTCTGATTAAGATTGCAGTCCCGCCGTGTGCTTTACCATCTAGATGATTTGTTCCATAGAATGAATATCCTCGTAGTTGGAAATTGTATCTGTTTGTAAGATGTATTTTTAAAAGCAGCATTACGTCGATTTGATTGTCTAGTAGGAATTGCGCAGCTTGAGTTTATGCTGCGAAACCTTGTTTGCGTTCCACGTAGATATTCATAGGGAAGTCATTATTTGGATTGTTGTGAAACCACCATTTGTATTAGTAGATTTTGGTTTCGCATTAAATCTTGCATAGTTTGTTGTTGACTGGCTTTGTTGTAGACTGCATATCATATCTTCAAAGTTACTCTTTAGCTGCTCCGGCGGTTGATGCTGCTGAGCCGTGTTCGGTTCTTAGTGTGCTGATTGCGGCAGTGAGCTTTTTGAGGCTGGGGTAGCCAGTCCTGATTTTAAAGCTCTTGCGTATGTGACATTTTTGTCAGAGTTGATGGGTCCTAGTGAGGATTTGACTGCAGTCGAGAAGAAGACTTCAGGGTTTGACCTGGAGGCTATGAACTGATTATTTTGGGTGCGGGCAGTAAATCCCCTCTGGTGGATGCGACTTTTCAGCTCCTTATAAACTGGGCAACCTCTATAGTTAGCAGTGTGATTTTCACCGCAGTTGCCGCACTTTTTCGAGTTTTGGTCATCTTTGCTCGCTGGGCAGTGTGCGGAGTCATGAAGCTCACCACAAACTACACCTTGATAATACCTTGATATTTTGATAATACTCTGTAATTATCTTCAGACTTCGTTTGAACTTTTGTTTCCTGGATATTGCCCTTTACGAGTGGTATTATGTGAAAGTTGTCCTTGCCAATGAGCTCTATAATTTTGTTGACAAGAACGTTGGAACTTTTTTCTCGTATGTATATTGGCGGGGGCTTAGGCTTCCTTTTTTCGACTTCTGTAGATTCGGCGTCATCCTCATAGTCTGCCAAGATTTTAAAACGGTTTGAGTTCGTGGGCGTTTCTATTGCGGCTATGTTAGCATTGCCACGGGTTATTTTGCGTTGAGAGTTTAGGGGGCTCAGCTTCCTTTTGATTTGGATGTAGCGATCCATACCAGTCTGCACAGCCGGCTTAATATTTTCTTTGTTTTTGTTCTCTTTTTCGGGCAGCACAGCGGCTGAAGTATCAATGTTTGCTGATGACGTCGTTAAACGCGCTGTCGTTACAGTAGCGGTTGTTGTTGTTGTTACGTTTGACGTTGTCAAAGAGGTTGCGGTGCTAGTAACCGCGCTCTTTGGCTGCAGAGACATCGATGGTAGCGAGGGGGAGCAAGATCGCGCTCTCACGCTCTTTACGTTTAAGAATTCGGCCAAGTTTGGGGTAACTGACCGTATTTGGGATGAGCTTGCATTACTTTCCATAAACTTCCATAAACTCATTGAAGTTCTGCGGGATGTTCATGTAGACTTTCTCTTCCAGCTCTCCGTTAAGGTATGCTGTGACCACGTCCATTTGGTGAATCTCCATATCAAATTCTGCTGATGAAGCAGCTTACTATCTCACGGACGTTAATCGCGTTACAGGCGAATACGTTTCATGAAAATCTTCTTCGGGCTTCTGCGCATGACCTTTTGCGACTAAGCGGGCCTTCTTCTTTCCTGATAC